GCTAGCAATTAGCAGCAGCTGATTTGGCGATTTGGTTGACGGGAAAAATCCTTGTCTCGCTAGAATACGCTGCACTAGATCAATAAGGGTTCAGTTTTTTGTCGAAATTGGACTATCTGGATGTCACACTGTAAAAATTAGCGCTTTAGTTGAACTGATTTGGCGATTTGGTGTACGGGGAAAATCCTTGTCTCGATAGAATACGCTGCAATAGATCAATAAGGGTTCAGTTTTTTGTCGAAATTGGACTATCTGGATGTCACAATTGGAAAATCTCACAAAATTAAAGCTCTAGGTTCAATGGAAATTTTTCAGCTGATGGATCTCCGTTTCGAGAAGTTTTCCTCAAAACTTGCATGTAATTTTGCAAATTTTACAATAGAATCTGCTTATCTGGATGTCACACTAAAAGAATTATTCTCAAAGAAACAAAAAAGAAAAGGTTAAAAAAAATTCTGGCACCGATTTTGACTCGAGCCTAATTTCCGTCGAAAATGAAACGATTTTTAGAAATTAAGTCAATTTCCAGCCAATCTGGAAGTCACGAGAACTAAATTTTAAATTTTGAAGGCTTAAAGATAATTTTAACCGTGATTGGAATCAGGCCATTCAAGTTCAACTCAATTTCTCTTGAAACTGAAATGATTTTTGGAAAGGGAGTCAATTTTTGGTCAATCTGGAAGTCACGGGAACTAAATTTCACATTTTTAAGGCTCAAGGATCATTTTAAGGTTTGGTGCAATGGATAAGCGCTCGAGTGCGGTTCGAAACCTCGCGGGTTCGAATCCCCTTGCTGCCAAAATTTTTTTGCTTTTTGTTTTTAAGCGTTTGATTTTGTTTCTAAGGTGGTTTTGGTGTGCGCTGAGGCTAAAGAAGTTTGTCTAAACAAAAAGCTTGGCCAGAAACGGCCAGAAACGGCCAGAAACGGCCAGAAACTTGGGTTACTTTAACCAGGAGAAATTAAACCAAATTGTGGCAGATTCTGGGATGAAAAAGGGTGATTTAATGCATGATTTTTGGTTGAAATTCTCGATCTCTTTAGAAATGAAACTCAAAGCCAAAAAAAAGAGTAAAAGATGAACCCAAATGATTGCCGGACTTTGATTGACTGAGAAAAAGGAAAAAGAATGGAGAAAGATAAAAAAACAATAGTCAGAGCTGACTCTAACGCCAGGAATTCCCCAGGGAACAATCATCTGCTAGAGAAAAGAGCAAAAAAAAGGCAAAATTCGACAATCTCGAACACCTGATCTTTTGAAGAGAAATATTCCATTGAATCTGTAAGAAAATTGAAATTGAAATTGAAATTTGGCAGATCTGGAACGCACACTACCATTTCAGTGTTCTAGATTGGGTCCGTTTCTGAAGTTTTTTCAGCCTGGTTTCTAGACTTTTGTCAGCCTCTTATTTAGCTTCGCCTGTGTACTTTATGCGTACTTTGAACTCAAATTCGCTCGATCTGGAGCGCACACTACCTTTTCAGTGTGCTAGATTGGGTTGGTTTCTAAATTTTCCTCAAGCCTTTTTTCTAGATTTTTGTCAGCCTCTCATTTAGCTTCACCTGTGTACTTTGTGCGTACTTTAAACTCAAATTCACTCGATCTGGAGCGCACACTACCTTTCCAGTGTGCTAGATTGGGTGTGTTTGCGAATTTTCTTCATTGTACTAAAAAGTTGTACGAAAGCTGAGGTGCAAACGAATTTCTCTTGAAACCGAAACCATTTCTAGAAATCGAGCGAATTTCCAGCCAATCTGGAGGTCACGAGAACTAAATTTTACATTTTTAAAGCTCAAGGGTCATATTTAAAATTCAGCTCCCATGGAGCAATGGATAGCTCGCTTGGCTCCGAGGCGAAGGGTCGCGGGTTCGAATCCGCTTGCTGCCAGAAATTTTCGTTTTTTTTGTTTTTTCAAGGAAATTTGTTTATAAATCGTTAAGAAAGCTTTTCGAATGTATAAACCGAAAAAAGTATGAAAAAAGATTAGAGAAAATGAGGGAAAACAGAAAAATTTGTAGTGCCAATTAGAGCTTGAAAATTCGTCTTTTTTTACTCTTTTTTGGTAAATTTTTCTCGTTTTATACATTTTGCCAGCTTTCCCAACGATTTATAAATAAATTTCCTCAAAAAAACAAAAAAGGAGAAGATTTCTGGCAGAAAGGGGACTCGAACCCGCGACCATTCGCCTCGGAGCCCAGCTCGCTAACCACTCGGCCACGCAAAGCCGAAAAGTGCCTAAAATCGTTCAAAAAATAGCTCTAAATCTTCTGTGACATCCAGCTTTTAGCTTGCACTTAGTTAGAGTATGTCATTGCGGCTAGATATCAAGAAAACGGCTAGATATCGAGTTCAACCGAATTTCTCTTGAAATACTAAACGATTTTTGGAAATTGAGCAAATTTTTGGTCAATCTGGAAGTCACGGGAACTAAATTTTACATTTTGAGCATTCCTTTTTCAGATTTCAGACTTTTCGATCTTTAACCAAATTTTATCATTTTGATCATTCGTTTTCAAGAAAGATTACATTTCCATTTTCCGTTCTGTATTTTAAAAGCTTTCCCAGCGATTTCTAAATAAATTTCCTCGAAAAAACAAAAAAGCAAAAAATCTCTGGCAGCAAGGAAACTCGAACCAGCGATGCTTCGCCTCGGAGCCCAGCTCGCTAACCACTCGGCCGTTGGGAAAAGTGTTTAAAATGCTTCAAAAAATAGCACAAAATCTTCTGTGACATCCAGCTTTTAGCTTGCACTTAGTCACAGTATACTATTGTTTGAAAATAGCAAGGGAATTGGCTCAGCTACGGAATTAAATGGTTTTCGGTCGAATTTCTCAAGTAAATGATTGCAAGATGGGAAATAAATAAGTAAAATGGAAATTTTATTCAAAAAAGTGTTTCTAGACAAGCTTTGAACCGGGAAAAGGGGAAAAAAAGGCAAAATTTTCGGTGAATTTCAAATTTTCGCACTTTTTTGACTTTTTCGCTAATATTTGATTGAAGAAAAAAAAGAAAAATTTGAAACTTTTTGATTTTTTCGCTTTTTTTGATTGAATTTTTAAGAAAAAGATACAATTTATTCAATAAAATTAAAAAAACACAAAAAGGCACATTTGAATCAATAAAAAAAGCCGGAAAAAGTCGAAAAACCAGCTGAAACGAGTCGGCGCAGTTTTCAAGCTTTTCGTGTAAGTGGGGAAGGTTTTAGACAACGAATTAGACCAAATTGGAACGCACATGATAAAATGATTCTTTTAAATGATCGTTTTTTAGCACCAAAGTTCTCCACTTCGATCACCGACATCGGATTTTTTCGGCAAACGCAAGGAGTGAACGCGGGCCTGCTGGGGGGCGACGTCGAGCATTTCGGGCTAAAAAAGTGGAAAGATTAGATGAATATTTGAAGAAAAGTCGATTGGAGAAACTTTTGGCAGTGACCGGAGTCGAACCAGCGACCGTCTGCCTCGAAAATCAAGGCTTTCCCACTGCGCCATCAAAAATCTTCTCTATTTTCAAATCCTAATAATCCCTCACTGTTCAGTGACATCCAGGACTGATGAAAAGCTTTTTATTTAGCCTTAATTCCCTCTCTTTCAGCTTATTTTTCGGTGATCTCAGTTCACGCAATTTTAAGAGAAACAAAACGAAATTAAGTGAAACTAAAACATTTTTCGTTCAAGCTGGATATCACAGAATCTATCTAAATCGTTTTTTTTACAGAAAGCTAAAACTTTTGGCGGTGACCGGAGTCGAACCAGCGACCGTCTGCCTCGAAAATCAAGGCTTTCCCACTGCGCCATCAAAAATCTTCTCTATTTTCAAATCCTAATAATTCCTCACTGTTCTGTGACATCCAGGACCGATGAATGGCATTTTCTCTAGCCTTAATTCCCTCTCTTTCGGCTTATTTTTCGGTGATCTCAGTTCGCGTGATTTTAAGAAAAACGAAAGGAAACTGAGTGAAACTAAAACGTTTTTCGTTCAAGCTGGATGTCACAGAATCTATCTAAGCCTTTCGTTATCTAAAATAAGCAAAAAAATTTGTGGCCTAATGGTTAGTGCGCTCGGCTATCAATCTGATAGCCGGGTGCTGGTTCGAATCCGGTCAGTTGAAAAATGTTTGCCTTTAAGCTGAAAACGGATTTGTGGACATTTTGGCGAAAATCCCGAGCGTTGTGCGCATTTTTCGGTATCAGTTTTCGAACGGGATGGCGGAGATTCTCGTTGGGTGGTCACAAATAGCAATTTCGTTTAGAAAGCGCTATAAAACGTGAAAATGATTAAATTCAATTTACGTGACATCCAGCTTGGCCAAAAAGTGGCAGAACCAAGCGGAAAAGTTCGATTTACCCCGACTTTTCCTTTCAAAGTCCTGACGAACCGTGGCCGAGAGTTGCTTAAAGGAAAGAGTGGGTTTTTATTGAAATTTCCTCTTACATGACATCCAGCTTGGGCAAAAATGTGCAAAACCGAGCGGAAAAGCTAGATTTAACCGGGCTTTTCCTTTCAAAGTCGAAACGAAGCGTGGCCGAGACTTGCTTAAAGCAAAGAGTGGTTTTTTATCGAAATTTCCTCTTACATGACATCCAGATTGGCCAAAAATGCGCAAAACCGAGCGGAAAAGCTAGATTTAACCGGGAATTTCCTTTCAAAGTCCAAACGAACCGTGGCCGAGACTTGCTTAAAGCAAAGAGTGGTTTTTTATCGAAATTTCCTCTTACATGACATCCAGATTGGCCAAAAAAAGAGGGAAAACTGGGGGTAAAAGCGCTGGATTTGTGAAAACTTGTCAAACTTGGGAAAACTTGTCAAAATTTGTCAAAACTGGCAAAACATTTCAACAAACATACATCATTTCTCGTTCTCGTTCATTCGGGCGAGCAGGCGAGCACATGCGGGGGAAAAGGACATTGAGCAATGAGGATGAGAGGATGAAAGGATTTGAATGATGTGAATGATGTGAATGATGTGAATGATGTGAATGATTTTTTTTTGGGCAATCAACTCGTTGACAAACTTGGCTGAAATAGAGATTTTCGAAATGGAAACGAAAAAACATTAAATTTAGATGGGTTAAATGAAATCAAACATTAAATAAAGGCTTTCGAAGAACAAAGAACTGTTTATAGAACTGTTGATAGCTTTTCCTTTACCTCTTTGCTGATGTTTGTGGCTGATTGGCTGCGTTTACGGATCCGGGAGCTGTTGCGGATTCTGAAAGATCTGATTCTGAAAGATCTATTGATAAACTAAAGATTCTTGATAAACTAAAGTCATCTTTATCGAATTGTTCAAAGGAGAGCTTTCCAAAAAGCTACCGTACTTCTGGAAAGGTTTAGAAAGAACGCAGAAAAGTGATTACGGTAATGGTTCGACTGATAGAACGACTGATAGACGACTGAACTTTTCCCCGCCATCATTTTACCACTTTTCCTCAACTTTTGCAGGTTCAAATCATTTTTCTGATTGATCTGGATGTCACAGTAGGCTTTGCAAACGTTAGCTTTCAAAAATTTGAATTCCAAAAGCAAAAACGTAAAACACGTATATCTTTTCACAGAGCGCTCCATATCAAAAGCGAAAAGCAGATTCGGAATCAGCGTCAAATTCTGGCCTAAACCGTGGTAAAAAAAAATTACCACGGTTTAGGAAACGTTTAGGAAACGTTTATTAAACGGATTAGAGACGCGGCTTTTGGAGAGCGATCGGCTTTTGGTAAATAAGGTGTAAACGCACGGCTTCTAACACTGTGGCCTCCAGCTTGAAGATTGGCATCGGTTTAGATACTCAATCAATAGCTACAGTACCCCTTTAACCATAGAGAAAGAAATGGATTAGAGGAAAGTCATTGGCTGAGCAAATGGGGTCTAATCTTACGGCTTCTAGCACTGTGACATCCAGCTTGAAGATTGGCATCGGTTTAGTTACTTAGCCAAGAGCTACAGTACCCTTTTAACCATAGAGAAAGAGACGGATTAGAGGAAAATCATTGGCTGAGCAAATGAGGTCTAATCTCCCGGCTCCTAGCACTGTGACATCCAGCTTGAAGATTGGCATTGGTTTAGTTGCTCAATCAATAGCTACAGTACCCCTTTAACCATAGAGAAAGAAATGGATTAGAGGAAAGTCATTGGCTGAGCAAATGGGGTCTAATCTCACGGCTTCTAGCAGTGTGACATCCAGCTTGAAGATTGGCATCGGTTTAGTTACTTAGCCAAGAGCTACAGTACCCTTTCAACCATAGAGAGCGAGACGGATTAGAGGAAAGTCATCGGCTTCAACAAATCGGGTCTAATCTCCCAGCTTCTAGCACTGTGACCTCCAGCTTGAAGCTTCCCATCAATTTCATTACCCAACTCCCACTCATTTCCTTCAAATCCCAATCTACTCACCCAGCGTGTATCGTGGACGAATACGAGATGAAACGCTCGGAGACCGCGTTTCTCGTCGAGCACATTAGCAAGAGTTTTAGCTCCTGTAATAGTTAAATATTAAACAAATCAAATCAGACGTAAAAAGCCACCGTAATCCGTCTTTTTTTTCAGCCGAATTTTTCGAGAATTTAATTCGGGTTGTTTTTATGAAATTTTTGTAATTTTTGAATTTTTATCAATTTTTCAATGAATTTAAGCTATTTTTTAGTTAAAATCTTTAAATTTAAATAAAAATTCTTTACTTTTTTGACATCAAACGAAAAATATCCGTACAAATACGGGGAAAGAGCCGAGTTGAAAACAGCGAAAGCGTAGATGAATTTCCGCAGCTCTTTTGGGACTCTGAAAGAAGCTTTTTAAGTAAAAAATGATAGCCAAGCTTGTTTATTTCAATTACGCAATGGTCCAAGTTCCAAATTTCATCAAAATCCAGCTGAAGGAATCGAACCCTCGAGGTTCCGACCCGTAGCCAAACTCGCTAACCACTTGGCCACCGGCTTTTTACTCTATTTTTCTTCGATAACATTTTAGAAACCCTCTGTGACATCCAGCTTTAAGGGAAAGCTTTTTGGCTAGGCTCAAAAATGTTTCCCTGTCGAGCAAAAGCCGCGATTCGAGATCACTCAAAAATAACGAGAAGTATCGGGAATTGAAGAAAACTAGAGAACAAATCTTGCAATCTGGATGTCACGGAAGGTGTAGAAATGTTTTCACGTCTGATTTTGTCTTTCTGAAACTCGAAAGCGTAGATGAATTTCCGTAGCTCTTTTGGGACTCTAAAAGAAGTTTTTCAGTAAAAAATGATATCCAAGCTTGTTTATTTCAATTACGCAATGATCCAAGTTCTAAATTCCATCAAAATTCAGCTGAAGGAATCGAGCCCGCCAGCTTTCGACTCGTAGCCAAACTCGCTAACCACTTGGCCACCGGGTTTTTACTCTATTTTTCTTCGATAACATTTTAGAAACCCTCTGTGACATCCAGCTTTAAAGGAAAGCTTTTTGGCTAGGCTCAAAAATGTTTCCCTGTCGAGCAATAGCCGCGATTCGAGTTCATTGAGAAATAAGACGAATGGGGGATAATTGAGAAAAATTTAAAAGGAATTCTTGCAATCTGGATGTCACTCAATGTGTAGAAACATTGAAATTCAAAATCGAGCTGAAGGAATCGAACCCATCAGCTTTCGACTGGTAGTCAAACTCGTTAACCACTCGGCCACCCGGACGTCATTATATTCGCGATATTTTTAGCTACTAACATTTTAGAAATGCCCTGTGACATCCAGCTTTAAAGGAAAGCTTTTTGGCTAGGCTTAAAACCGTTTCCCGGTCGAGCAAGAGCTGTGAATCGAGATCACTCAAAAATAAAGAGAAGTATCGGGAATTGAAGAAAACTAGAGAACAAATCTTGCAATCTGGATGTCACACAATGTGTAGAAACATTGAAATTCAAAAAAAAGCATCAAAATCCAGCTGAAGGGATCGAACCCATCAGCTTTCGACTGGTAGTCAAACTCGCTAACCACTCGGCCACCGGGCTTTTACTGTATTTTTCCTCGATAACTTTTTAGAAATCCTCTGTGACATCCAGCTTTAAGGGAAAGCTTTTTGGCTAGGCTCAAAAATGTTTCCCTGTCGAGCAAGAGCTGTGATTCGAGATCACTCAAAAATAAAGAGAAATGAGAAAGATTGAAAAAAACTAAAAGACAATTCTTGCAATCTGGATGTCACGGAAGGTGTAGAAAGGCTCTTTGGGTAAATATTGACAGTTTAAGTAGTCATTGATCAAGACTGACATTTCAGAAAGCAAATCTCAAAAAACTTCAAGGCACATAAACAAGAAATCCTATCCATAATGGTCTATCCTATCCAAGGAAGGTCTTGGCAAGGCTTAGAGCCGAGCCAAGCCTAGGATTGATATCAATCTTCTTCAAGTTCTTGGTCTGGATCTGATCTGGATTTTTTTCGAACCCGATTTTAAAAAACTCACAAATCTTTGCTGTTTGTTGTGAAGTGCAAAAACATGATGATTGCGTAGGGTGTCCAGCAGAAAAGGAAAGCAAAAACGACGACGAAAGTCATCCTAAAAAAAAAATAATTATTTCAATTGAGTGAATTTTAATTTAGAAATCGTTTAATAGCCAAGCTAGAGCTTTTATTTTAAAACTCTTTAAAAACCCGAAATTTCTGAGGCAAAGCATTCTGTGATATCCAGATTGCAAGAATTGTTTTTTAGTTTTTCTCAATTCCCCACACTTCTCGTTATTTTTGAATGAACTCGAATCGCGGCTCTTGCTCGCCAGGGAAACAACTTTAAGCCTAGCTCAAAGGCTTTCCCTTAAAGCTGGATGTCACAGGTGATTTCTACCATGTTAAAAGCGCAAAATATAACAATGTCCTGGTGGCCGAGTGGTTAGCACGCTCGGCTACAAATCTGAGGGTCCTGGTTCGATTCCGGGGGGTGAAAAATTTTGGGGAAAAATCAATTTTTAAGCGCTCAGATGCTTATGTGAGTTCCAGGATGGATAAAAATTCGATCAGATCGTTAAAACCTTTATTTACCAGCAGCGAATTACCTAGTCTCTGGGTACTCATATGCAGATGTTTTAAAATTCTTCAAAAACTCGAAATTTCTCAGGCAAAGCATTCTGTGATATCCAGATTGCAAGAATTCTTTTTTAGTTTTTCTCAATTCCCCACACTTCTCGTTATTTTTGAATGAACTCGAATCGCGGCTTTTGCTCGCCAGGGAAACAACTTTAAGCCTAGCTCAAAGGCTTTCCCTTAAAGCTGGATGTCACAGGTGATTTCTAAGATGTTAGTAGCTCAAAATATAACAAAGTCCCGGTGGCCAAGTGGTTAGCACGCCCGGCTACAAATCTGAGGGTCCTGGTTCGATTCCGGGGGTGAAAAATTTTGGGAAAAAAGCAATTTTTAAGCGCTTAGATGCTTCTGTGACTTCCAGGATTGCTAAAAATTTGATTGAATCGTTAAAATCTTCATTTACCAGCCATGAAATGCGCATTAACCAGATTTTTCGACTTTTTCGGCAATTTGAGTGAACAATTTCGCCAACATTTGCTTATCTTTCACACCTCAAAGTTCTCGATCTTGCTCGTTGCAAATTATCGCCACCATTTCTTCGCAAAAGTCCACCCTTCTCGGTTTCTAAAAGGAAAAGATTCAAAATTCAAAATTCAAAATTCAACAATGTTTAGGCTTTAATTTAAAGCTGTTTTTGAAGCTGTTTTGAAGTGTTTTTTGGCTTTAAAAAAACGAAAATACCTGATTTAAAGCAATTTTTATGCGAGATTCGCCACAAAATCAACGAATAACAAACGACGGTCACGAGGAGGGGCAAGAAGTAAACCTGGAATACACAAAGAATAAAGCTTTCTAAAGAATAAAGACTGAAGACTAAAGACTAAAGCTTTCGAAAGACTTTTTCTACTACTAAATCTTGTCACTCTTTTACACAAGAGCGTTTAAAGAGAAAATTTCTAAAATGAGAATGCGGAGGGAAATGGGGACGCATAACGACAGCGTATTTTGAAAGAAAACCATTTTTCTTCAAATCAAAAATCTAAGCACTAGCAATTCTTAAATGATGTCCAACTAAGAGAAAAAATGGAAGCTGATGAACGCTGCTGGACGCTGCTGGAGGCTGATGGACACTGCTGGACACTGCTGGACGCTGATGGAGGCTGCTGGACGCTGATGAACGCTGATGGAAGCTGATGGACGCTGGACGTCGGTTATCGAATTCGGTGATGTCGCCACAGGACGTCCAGCGTCTATCAGCTTCCATCAGCGTTCATAAAGGTCCAGCAGCGTCCAGCAGCCTCCATCAGCGTCCAGCAGTGTCCAGCAGTGTCCATCAGCATTCAGCAGCTTCCATCAGCGTTCATAAGGGTCCAGCAGCGTCCAGCAGCCTCCAGCAGCGTTCAGCAGCTTCCAGCAGCGTCCAGTAGCTTCCAGCAGCCTCCAGCAGCTTCCAGCAGCCTCCAGCAGCCTCCAGCAGCGTCCAGCAGCTTCCAGCAGCTTCCAGCAGCCTCCAGCAGCTTCCAGCAGCGTCCAGTAGCTTCCAGCAGCGTCCAGCAGCTTCCATCAGCTTCCAGCAGCCTCCATCAGCGTTCATCAGCGTCCAGCAGCGTTCATCAGCGTCCAGTAGCGTCCAGCAGCGTCCATGAGCGTCCATGAGCGTCCAGCAGCGTCCAGCAGCTTCCATCACTGTCCAGCAGCTCCCATCAGCGTCCATCAGCATCCAACGTCGATCAGCACAGACCGTAAGCTTTCGATGACGTCCAGGAGACTTCTTCCTGCCATAATTGAAAGGATCCTTCAAGAAATTTGCGACAACTTGGTGCAAGCACTTCATTTTCTTTTCTTTTCTTTCTTTGTTCTTCTTGGACTTCGTTGATTCTTCGACAACTTTCTTCCTTTCAAAATCGTAATTTTCATCTTTTATAGCAGTTGATCTTGATGAATTTGCAATGAAATTGCAAAGAAAAACGTTGAAAAATGAATAAAAATAATGGAAAATGGCTTTAAGCAATGGAAAATGGCAATGGAAACGAATTACAGTAGCTAGTGCATTTTAGAATGCGTCCCCATGCGTTGGAATGCGTTGGAATGCGTTAGACTACGTTAGAATTCTCTGTGAACGCTCTTGTGTCAATCTTATAAGCTTATCAATCTCGTCGTCTTGCACAACTCTACCTGCACAATGTTGACAATCGAGTACCAATAAACGATTTGATGTGGGATCTCTCCGATAAAATTCCGGGCCACACACTGCGAGAACCAGGGATAACAAGGGTGAGACGTGGCACGGAACATGTAGAACTGAAAGGTTTTTCATTTGAAATAGCTCACATTTCCGAGATGAGCTCAATTAACTGACATTAACTGATCAGCGCAATTTAATCCCGATTTCGTTTGTTTCTTGCAAACTTTACAATAAAGCCTGCTTATCTGGATGTCACACTACAATAATTTGAAAGAATAAACGCCAAAATCTCACTTTAAAATTTTAAACGAGTTCAGCGCGATTTCTTGGAGATTTTTGGAGTTTTGAAAGGAGATTTTGCTAGAAAAGGGCTTCCTGGATGTCACACTATGCAAATTTTTAAAAACTGGAGCCTAAAAGCTTAAAAACCGGATGGCGCAGTGGTAGTGGTCGCGTTTGTCGCTCAGACCTCGCTGGTTCGACTCCCACCTCCGCCAATGACTACGACCTTTTTGCTTTTTTGCCTCTTTTCGTAATTTGATCAAATTTGGGCATCCTGGCGTTCCGCGGGGCCAGGCGGGGCTTGAACCAGTGACCTCTAGATCGGGAGCCGAGCCCGTTACCCACTGCGCTATGGGTGCAAACTCTTAAAATCATCTCTAAACCTTAAAAATGGAAAAACTAAGTCTTGTGACATCCAGCTTAGCCAAAAATTGCTTTAAATCTTAAAAATCGGTTTGTTTTCAATGGAAAATTGGACTGATCTCGAAAATTTCTGAGATCAGCTCAATTTTTCGGATTTCGTTTTGATTTTTCGAAATTTGACAATAGAGCCTGTTTATCTGGATGTCACCCTACAATAATTTGAAAGAAAAACGATCAAAAGTCCATTTTGAAATTTTAAACGAGTTCAGCGCGATTTCTTGGAGATTTTTGGAATTTTGAATGAGATTTTGCTAGAATTGGGCTTCCTGGATGTCACATTATGTAAATTTTTATAAATTGGCGCTTAAAAGCTTAAGAACCAGATGGCGCAGTGGTAGTGGTCAGATTTGTCGCTCAGAGCTCGCTGGTTCGACTCCGCCCTCGGCCAATTTTTTTCCTTTTTTGCTTCTTTTCGAAATTTGATTAAATTTTTGGCTTAGAGGGGCTCTAATGATGTTCTTGTTCAGTCCGAAACTGAACTTTGTCCAACTCTAGCTTACTTGTGGCGCACTGGTGACAAACGAGACAATCCACGCAATCACGACCATTTGTTGAACCGATCTGGAATTTGTTGAGGTACTAGGGATCTGGAAAACGGCCAATGAGGCCAATGAGGCCAATGAGGCGTCTTGTCGCAGAAATAATGCAAAAATGACGAAATTTGATTAAGAAAACGAGTAAAACGCTTCTCTCGCTAAAATACGGCTTTCTAGATTGATGAGGGTTCATTTTTTTTCTCGAAATTGGTTGATCTGGATGTCACACTAGCAAACTGCAAAAAAATTGAGGCTCTGGGCTCAATTTGAAATTTTTCCGACCACCAACTATCGAGTTCGGTATAAAAACCTTCAAAAACTTTAGGAATTGGATTTTTTTGTTTCTAATTCTAATTAATAATCAAATAATCCTTTTTTTGGTCACTGTACCTTCTGGCTTTCATGGCGTATAACGGGAAAAAAATCGAATAAAACCGATCCAACGAAATGCAAATTAGCACATTTGCCGACAAAGCGATCCCGAAAACATCGAAGAATTTACAGGCTCGGCAAAGCTGAAATTGCTCGGGTTACGGTAGGAAAAGAGACTAAGAGAAAAGAGACTAAAGGCCTTTTTTTCAAACCAGCATTTTCCACAATTTCTTCGTGATTTTACAAGTTTTGCGGATATTTCTCGAAATCTTTCGAGACGAGCTCAATTTCTCCGGATTTTTGTTTTAATCTTGCAAACTTTACAATAAAGTCTGCTTATCTGGATGTCACACTACAATAATTTGAAAGAAAAACGATCAAAATCTCAATTTAAAATTTTAAACGAGATCAGCGCAATTTCTTGGAGATTTTTAGAGTTTTGAAGAAGATTTTGCTAGAATTGGGCTTCCTGGATGTCACACTATGCAAATTTTTATAAACTAGAGCTTAAAAGCTAAAAAACCGGATGGCGCAGTGGTAGTGGGCGCGTTTGTCGCTCAGAGCTCGCTGGTTCGACTCCGCCCTCCGTCAACGACTACAACCCTTTTGCTTTTTTGCCTCTTTTCGAAATTTGATCAATTTTTGGCATTCTGGTGTCCCGCGGGGCCGGGCGGGGCTCGAACCACCGACCTCTAGATCGGGAGCCGAACCCGTTACCCACTGCGCCATGGATACAAACTCTTAAAAATCATCTCTAAACCTTAAAAATGAAAAAATTAACTCTTGTGACATCCAGCTTAGCCAAAAATTGCTTTAAATCTTAAAAATCGTTTTGTTTTCAATGAAAAATTGGACTGATCTCGAAAATTTCTGAGATCAGCTCAATTTAGTCCCGATTTCGTTTGTTTCTTGCAAACTTTAGAATATAGTCTGCTTATCTGGATGTCACACTACAATAATTTGAAAGAAAAAAGATCAAAAGGCCATTTTGAAATTTTAAACGAGATCAGCGCGATTTCTTGGAGATTCTAGGATTTCTGAAGAAGATTTTGCTAGAATTGGGCTTCCTGGATGTCACACTATGCTAATTTTTATAAATTAAAGCTTAAAAGCTGAAAAACCGGATGGCGCAGTGGTAGTGGTCAGATTTGCCACTCAGAGCTCGCTGGTTCGACTCCGCCCTCAGCCAAATTTTTTGCTTTTTTACAAAATTTGATCAAATCTTTGCCTAGACGTTTACCAGCGATGTCCGCTATCGCAAAAGAACCGACACTTTAGTTTATTCAAAAAAAAAGAAACTCACAAAATCCCCTCCATTCCAGGCGATCATGTAATTGTGAAGGATTTCCTTTGGCATATAGAAAAAAGTGACCATCAAATGCGCGATGTTCATGTGGAGAAGAAGGGAATGCACACGACGCACTTTGACGAGTTGATTCCTGGAAATTGGGTGGTTGAATGAGGCGATCGCGACGCTTTTCGACCGATTTTCGAGATCAGCTCAATTTTCCTTCGAAAACCAAACGATTTCTGGGATTTAAAGCAATTTTTGGTCAAGCTGGATGTCACGAGATTCAATTTTTCAATTTTTAGCGTTCAAGGATGATTCTGAAAAAGTTGCACCCATGGCGCAGTGGGTCGGCTCGACTCCGGATCGAGACCTCGCGGGTTCGAGCCCGGCCATAGACAAAAAATTTCGCTTTTCTCTCAAAATCTCGTTTCTTTTAGATATTTATCTTTCTCCTTCATCGATTTTCAAAAAATCTTTTCGAAATAGCACTTTGAACTCATTATTTTCAAGTTTCAAAGCCATTTTCGAGATCAGTCCAATTTTCCTTTGAAAACCAACTGCCTCTGGGAAAGTGAAGCAATTTTTGGTCAAGCTGGATATCACGAGACTCAATTTTCACAATTTTACGGCTTATAGTTGATTTTAAAACTTTGAATCAAAGAATTTCGAGATCAGCTCAATTTTCCATTGAAAACAAACCGATTTTTGGCATTTAAAGCAATTTTTGGTCAAGCTGGATGTCACGAGACTTAATTTTTTCATTTTTATCGCTCAAAGATGGTTTTGAAAGATTTGCACCCATGGCGCAGTGGGTAACACGCTTGGCTCCGGATCGAGACCTCGCTGGTTCGAGCCCCGGCCGGTCCCACGGAGCGCCAGACAGCTCAGAGTAAAGTGGTTAACTGATAGTAAGCCAAAAGGTGAGAGTGGGATGGTGAGAGGCGGAGGCGGGAGTCGAACCAGCGAGCTCTGAGCGGCAGGTAGCGACCACTACCACTGCGCCATCGGATTCTTTGGCTTTTAAGCTCTAGTTTATAAAAATTTACATAATGTGACATCCAGGAAGCCCAATTCTAGCAAAATCTCCTTCAAAACTCCAAAAATCTCCAAGAAATCGCGCTGATCTCGTTTAAAATTTTAAATGGAGATTTTGATCGTTTTTCTTTCAAATTCTTATAGTGTGACATCCAGATAAACAGCTTTTGTTGTAAAGTTTGCAAGATTTAAACGAAATCGGGGTTAAATTGCGCTCATCTCGGAGGTTTCCTCAAAACTTATTGTTTTAAGCATAAATTTTCAAAGCTACCGGCTTTAAATCAAAACCGGCTTTGAAAATTCTTTAAATCTTGCTTTCATGGCTGAAAAAGAGGTTGAAAAGAGCTGAAAAAAGAGCTCAAAAAAGAGATCTCTGCAAAATTAGGATCTTGGGTTTTTCGAGGGTTTTTTTATCGAAGATTTTCGAAATTGGTTAAAATCGGTTTATAGTCAGATTAGAAATGGGGAAATTGAGTTTTTATCTGTTTTCTCTTTTGTAGGCATCTGTTTTGTAAGCAAAAAGGATCAGGAAAGGGAAAATTATCATCAAATCTTCAAATTCACATAAAAACTAGAGGCTTTTGGATACGGTAATGAAGTTGATGCGTTTCCGGTCGTTTTTTCCCCAAATTTCCATGAGATTTCACAAATTTTACAATAAAACCTGTTTATCTGGATGTCACACTACAATAATTTGAAAGAAAAACCATCAAAATCTCAATTTAAAATTTTAAACGAGATCAGCGCGATTTCTTGGAGATTTTTGGAGTTTTGATCGAGATTTTGTTAGAATTGGGCTTCCTGGATGTCACACTATGCAAATTTGTTATAAACTAACGCTGAAGACCTAAAGGACCAAATGGCGCAGTGGTAGTGGTCGCGTCGGTCACCCATAGCTCGCTGGTTCGACTCCGCCCTCCGCCAACGACCTCCACTTTTTTTGCTTTTTTCGCTTATTTTCAAAATTTGATCAAACTTCAAGTCTGTATTTCAAGAAATCAGGTACTGAATGGAGGGAATTTCGAGATTTTCCGAGACGAGCTCAATTTTTCCCGATTTCGTTTGAAACTTGCAAACTTTAGAATAGGGACTGCTTAGCTGGATGTCACAATACAATAATTTGAAAGAATAAACGCCAAAATCTCACTTTGAAATTTTAAACGAGATCAGCGCGATTTCTTGCAGATTTTTGGAGTTTTGAAGGAGATTTTGCTAGAATTGGGCTTCCTGGATGTCACACTATGCAAATTTTTATAAACTAGAGCTTAAAAGCTGAAAAACCGGATGGCGCAGTGGTAGTGGGTTACCTGCCGCTCAGAGCTCGCTGGTTCGACCCCACCCTCCGCCAATGACTCCCACCTTTTTGCTTTTTTGCCTCTTTTCGAAATTTGTTCAAACTTTGGCATTCTGGCGTTCGGCAGGGCCGAGCGGGGCTCGAACCAGGGATCTCTAGATCGGAAGCCGAGCCCGTTACCCACTGCGCCATGGGTGCAAAATCTTAAAATCATCTCTGACCCTTAAAAATAAAAAAATTGAGTCTTGTGACATCCAGCTTAGCCAAAAATTGCTTTAAATCCCAAAAATCGGTTTGTTTTCAAAGGAAAATTGAGCTGATCTCGAAAATTTCTGAGATCAGCTCAATTTCTCACTACATGACTGTCCCTAGATCGGTGAGGGCGCATTTTTCTAGCGAAATTGGCGTATCTGGATGTCACGCTTGGAAAAGCTGACAAAATTGAGGCTCTGGGTTCAATTTGAAATTTTTTTCTCACCTGCACAAAATGAGGAACATCGTGCCATTGCCAACGAGCGCAATCGCAAAAACGACAATGTAGACGATGAGAATGAGGAGAATGGGCAGCGTGAAAGACATGTCGGGCGGGGGTTGAGCTCTGGAATTGAAAATTAGCTTTAAAATGGATGAAAATCGCTTGAAATGTTACCAAAGGTTTTTTCTTTGAAAGGAAAGGTCAAAAATGAATCTAAGATCGATTTTCTGTAGTTCTGGAAGTCACACTAGCCTTGTACAATGTTTATTTTGAGTTAGCCTTAGAAAAAAAAAATGCAAAATTTTTTTGTACCTGCAAAATTTCTTCAACTGTATCCCCTGCTCATCCCAAGTCGATTGCACGATTTTGTTCCACATTCGCTCCGACAAATTCTCTCGAATTGAGCCCATTTTGTAGCTAGAAACTTGTAGTTTTATAAAAAAAAACAAAAATCTAAGAAAAATCGATGAAAAACAATGAAAATCGTTTGAAAAACGAAGAAGTTAAGACTTCGACGTGAAATAGAGCAGAGAAGACAATAAAATGGCTTGAATAACAAATTTTCCATAAGATCTGGATGTCACAGAAGATTTTGAGATAATTTTTGAATGATTTTAAACACTTTTCCTGATGGCCGAGTGGTTAGCGAGCTTGGCTCGAAGGCCGAGCATCGCTGGTTCGAGCCCCCTTGCTGCCAAAATTTTTTCTTTTTTTGTTTTTTCAAGGAAATTTATTTACAAATCGTTAGGAAAGCTGGAAAAATGCCTAAACCGAAAAAAAGTTTGCGAAAAAGTGAAAAGCGGAGCAAATTTTCGAGCCGATAGCTGATGGAAGATTCGTCTAGACATAATCGTCTAGTCGCTAAAGACCTATCCAAAAAGTGTTTCAACGCCTTTCGTGACATCCAGCTTGTATGAATTGTCCTTTATTTTTGCTT